CACACAGGTTGTGTACAACTACCACACGATGAGTGCCCTCTATTCTTTCAGGACACTCTCGGGAAAGCGCTAGCTGCTTTGCTGGAATTCCCACCGACAAGCTGGAGGTACTCAGCCTCTCTAAGATGCAATCATCTCCTCTCCAAATAAAAGACCTGGGGCAGCTGAGGCATGCAAGTGCCATCTGAGACAAAACTGCCACCTCAGGAAAGGATGCAAGTCTTAAACTTAAGTCTTGACGTTAACATTAAAAGGGTGTAGAAAGGCTTCTTAGAGCTCTACAAATAGGAACAAATCTGAACCTTCATTTTTATTAGGTTTCCTTTTGTATTTAAGCACAAGTCTTAACTTGAAATAGAAAAAAATCCTAAAGGTTTTTCCACCAGTAGTCCATTTAACTTCATAATGCTTGTGGACACGTTTCAAACAGGTTTTTTTAATATATACACAAAGAAGTGATTGAAACATCTGGCATGGCACAGGTACACATTAACATATGAAGATATGCATACATTATGAACAAGTGTAAGCTAATGATTCAATGATATAAACAATACAGATCATTAATGTAAACAGAGCCCATGCCAGACTCTGTTTCCTATAACTAAACATGTCCCCAAGACGACACTGGAGAAATTGCATTAATCTTTGGAAAAATTACAAGGCCAGATATCAGTTGGTCTGCAAGGCCAAGGGGTGGGGGTTATCCCAAGTCAACATCATTTCAATCAAAAAAGATGCACATTAACTGACAGCAAAAACACAAGCATTTTATCAACATGCTTTAAGTGCTGTAAACCTGTTGTCTCAAATTTTAAAAGACAAAAAACTTTTATCAGTTTCAGGAATTTTTGGTTCTAGCTAAAATAAAGAAGGATGCAATTTAATCTAAAGTTCCTTTCCAGCCTTATGCTTTAGAATAACTGTTGAGATCGCTTCAGTATGTTTTTAAAATTGATCTCTACATCTGTGTATCTACAACTAGAAACCACAAAAAAGTGCATGTTTTAACATATCTCAAGTTTTACTACCCTTAGAAATTAATGGGGGGGAAAAGCAAGAAATAAAATGATTAATGCCAGCGTGGTATACACAGCCATATTTATTAGTTCACTTCCATTTACATAAAGAGAAAGCTGAAGCCATACACAGGTGCTGCTCTAAAATAAAGACAGACTACTGTTTTCTCCAACAGTTTTATTTCAAAAAGTACACAAGTCTGTCATTGAACTACAGCATTTTAAAATTTTGAATTTTGTTTTTACAAATTCACTCACAATACTTGTATTTTAAAATACCATTCCCCCAAAAGTGTGAATATAAAACTTCATACTGAAATTCAGATCAATATTCAAAGTCCATGCTTTCTGCATGAGAAGCATAATGTAACATCGTAACATTTTGGATTCCAGGAAATATTATTGCTCCAATTCCAATTGAGTTGTGCCTCAATGCTAGAGGACCGATAACCAAAGGGTCCCATAAAGCACCTATCAAGTGTATAAAACAAGGTTTAAGTGACACAAGTAGTATTATGTCTTTAGACCAGAACAAAGATCTAAAGTGATCCAGAATATACACTGTTAAGAACAAAACCAAAAGCTTATCATGGAAACCAGTAATACACAATATCCAGCATTACAGAAAAAACTTGCAGTTAAGAAGTCTTACTTGCACTATGAAGCAGGAAGCATACATCTAACATGAATGTGACTACCAGAGTTGATAAAGATGTATGCACTGTACATTTCTTTCAAAAGTCATGTTTTACCTCTCCAACAAGGCATTTCTGTGCACTACACAGCTTTGGAAGAAGTATTGATTTTAAAGAAGTTTCACACAAATATCTTTAAATATCCACTTCAGGAAGTTTATGAAAACACTTGTAATGTATGGACAAGTGTTACGTAACCTCTACAGTATTACAAGTCTAACACTTTATTCACACCATGCTAAAATTGAGGGGTTTCTTCTATATATAGTAGTCCTCAACAGGCAAGTTTACAGTCATGACATTAACTAGAGGTTTCTTGAGTTCACTTAGAGTATTTACATAATGGTACTAACCCCCCCTTTTTCTTTTTTTTTTTAATAAAATGAGACATTAAAAATGCCACCTTTAACTGGTCTATCAGCTGCCATTACTTCCTAAAAGAATTCTGTTAGCAGAGTTATCTGTAAGATCGGACACCTCACATGTCTAATCAGTTCATCTCCTACAGCTAGAAATCATTGCTAAACTATAGTAGCTGCTTCTGAGAATCATAATCCAGTGTAAGTGAACAATCTATTGACAAAAGAAATAATTTATAATAGCAGTATTATGTTTTCATAGTAGTGTTGTATCCATTCAAAAAGGCATGATGATAGCTACTTGAGGCAAAGTTTACCCCAAGTCAGAGGTTCTTTATTTCAGATAAGGACTATGTCAGATTCCATTTCTTTTATTTTCCATGCAATTACATAAATAGACAGACACTGTCAAGGCTGCTAAGCCTAACAGCTAGGCTCTGAGGGCACATCATGCTGTCCTTCTGTTCTGTCCATTTATTATTTTGTACAAGCTGACAGAGCATTAAGCATGTGTAAACTCTGCTCTGCACGCTTTAGTGAGATAGGTTTCTGTTCTTGAGTGTGCTAGGGCTTACCTGACTGTAAGTACAGGGTCTCAGGCCAAACAGAAGGAAAAAAAAAACCAAAAACACAAAACAAAAACCAAAAACCACACATAATCTCACGTATGTCCACAGATGGCTAAGAACCAAATTCAGTAGGTTTGCTGCCTGGTTGCTTAGGTTTATAGCTATCTCTCAGTCTGTGATTCAGTTTAGTTTCGCACTCAAGTAGTATTTATATAACAACTATACCCTTTTAATTAAGGAAGGCCTTAGTTTCAAGGTAAACAATCAGTGTACGATTAAAATCTTGGAAGTCTCTTCTATCACAATAATTGGATGCAAGAAGATGTCTCCTCACCTATTGTTCTTCATCAGCATATGTTTGGCACAGTTACTAAAACTATTATTTACCACACAGGTCAAAGTCAATCATGCATCTCATCGGTACAACTGAACAGTTTTCAGGAAGATGAACACTTACATCATAATTAGCAATTGAAGGAGTAACCGACATTTTGAAATACAGAACAATACAGAGAGAGACACGGAAGTCACATCCAAAAATAGGCATGAAGAGGTATAAATAGTACATAAGAATCGAGAAATCAGATCACAGTGTCATGTTTTAAGAACTGTACCATCATCTAAGCACCTGGTCAAACAGTAAGTTTAGGCACCAGAAATTTCATAAAAACTGGAGTTACAATCAGGCAAAGTTTATTGACAAGGCACACATGAAAGATAAAAAAATCTGATCTCTAACAGTATCAGTTTACAATCTAAAAAAGTCCCAAATGTGTAAAACTGTAAGTGTACAATACTTAATAGCCATTCAAGTTTCTAAATTCAGTATGAAGGGTATGTTCTTTACATTAATAGTGCCAGCCAAAAATTATGCACCTAACTACAGATAGGACAAACATTTAGTAGTAAGCCAAAGAATTTATCACAGATCTATAAGCAGCTACAAAAAAGCAGACACTAAACCTAGAAGTTTGGGGAAACGTTTCCTCTCACACTGTTGCTACATACAAATAACGCTAACATCTTTCAACAGGCTATTCAGGTATTTCCTTCATCAACATCAGTGCCACATACTATATGCCTTTAGAGTTTTCCAAAATACCTTGCAGTTAACATCTATAGCTAGAATAAGCTGAAGGGACTCCCTCCGTCCTGCCCCCCAGCACAGGATGAAGAAGAAAGTAAAAAATAGGGAGGAAGAAAAAAAAAATCCACAAAGATTCAAACTGCACTAAGCTTTAAATCCAGCTTCCACAGGTATATAATATCAGTCAACAGAAGCTATCAGAAGTCCTTAAGTATGTGTGAAAGAGAAGGAATTGTTCTGTTCCTCCTGTAATGCTTTAAGTTTGCAAAACTGGGAAGATGATTTTAAATCTTGAAACATGAGATTTATATCAACAATTCTGGATAACTATTTCCTCTCAGAGTCTGGCTACATGAAACTCTTGCTCTTAAAAGTCTAAATGTCTGTCCATAATATTTAGGGCTGTTGAAGAGGTAAGGAGAAATAAGCTTTAAACTGCTTGCAAATTCATACAGAAAGATATTAGCAGCTTAAGGCTAATTACTGCTTACAAGTATATGGGAAAAGATGTTTCCACAAAGATGTTAGAGCAAGAGGACAGATATCAAATACCAGTTACTCAACGGCTTTCATTAAAACCCCACAGAGCGTCTAGGTAATCAGTTTGGAAAAAAAGGAAGAGCAATGCCTTAGAATCTAAACAGGCTTTGGAAAATGCAAGGTATAATTAACTTAAGACCTCTATAAAGATACATCTCCATTCTTACTGTGACAGCGACAGTTGATCTACAGATGTTAAAGCTTAGATGCCACTACCAACAAACCGATAGGACCTCTTGCATCAGCCAACATAAGTATTAAATTATCTGACATGACTAGAACTAGTTATTACAGAAAAAAAATCATATTTCCAAGAGCTTGCAGGGTCTCCTGTCACATTCCACTCACTGAAATTTTAAATTCACAAGAGATTCATTAAATTAATTGAACCAATCAAATAACTGGTAGCCCCTGAAAGAAGAGCCCAAGAAGTGCTCCGAACAAACATTACCGGGTTAAAGAACTGCATAAATAATCAGTTTGAACAGAATTCAAAGTCATCCTCAATATTTTAGCCCCTTGCAACTACATCAGACAGTGGCCAAGCTCAAATATTTCTGTTGAGGATAGACACAATTGAGGATAAAGTTTCCGGAACTCTGAGAAACTTCATTGTCTACATACGAAATGTTTTTGTTACTTCTCACCTGTGTCTCGCTGTTACATATTCAGAACTGCACATTAGCTGACAGTGTCTCTTTAGCAACCTACCCAAGGTCCAAATACCTTCAGTGTCCGATATTTATTTAGGAACTTCAATGCTCTTAGTAAATAGTTCAACTGTCATATACTAATAAGTTTAAAATTTAAAATGAGAATTGGTGGCTTTTAAAACTAACTTGTTCATTTTCTTCAAGGAAAATTGCATGCCATTGTTTAAATGAGGGATGGAACACAGTAGTTTTCCCTAATACTTACAATGAACACTTTAAAAACAGCATTTAAATTAATAAAATTTTATACTATGGACCCATCTTTGCTTTGTGCTGGAATCATCACAGGAACAGCTCCCATTCTACTTAAATTAGGTGCAGCTACCTTTGAAGGTGCAAAGGTTGGGTTCTGACCAGGAGTACGTTCAAAGTCTTCACTTGGGACTTGGCTATATGGAGTTTTGGTATATCCTTCCATATTTGAGGGAGACATTGAACCCAGAGAAGAACGATTGCTGCCTATGTAGCTGCGGGCTGTTGAAGTGCGACTTTTTGGAGGTGGGACATCTTCTCTGAAATGAAAAAAAAACCAGAGTTCAGTCACCATTACTACCTGGGAGTTTACAAAACAGGTTTTCAGTTTGTTTCTGTTCTGACACAGTAGCCAAAACAGGCTCACCTATTACTGTAAGTTAAAAATAATTCAAGTGTTCATTGCCTTTAAAATCTGTACTGAAATTGGACATGACTACCTAAACCATACTCAAAACAAAAAGTTCTCTGACAAGCTGTTAGTACATTAATAAGCTTTCCAGATTAAGACAGAAATCTCAACTGTTAAGCATCTTACTTGCAGAAACACACGTTTTAAAGTTAATCTTCAAATAATACTGCTCAGAAACTAGATATGTTACCTGATATCATGATGTACTTCTTTCTCGTATTTCTTCTCTCTATGTTTCTTACAGCAACAGAAGACAAGAAAACTCAGTACAGAAAGACCCAGCAGAGTTCCTATAATAGCTCCAGCAATTATACCAGCTGTATTTAAAGCTAAAATAGATAAATAACAATACTGTTTGTTAACTGTCAAATATATATGACCAATTTCTTTGCTCTTAACATTAAAACCAGTATATTTCCACATGATCCAGGTCAACAGTGTATCACTGAATCACAGAAGCCTCGCGTCAATCACATGCATTTAAAACAATAAGAGTTACAGCTTTCTGCATAAAAAGCAACGCTTTGGGAAGTAAAGACTTGAAGTGGTAACCATCAGTTACACAACAGGGTTGTTTTTTTTAACCTTTTAGGAGTTTAGGAAAACAAGATTATTCAGTTTTAATACACAAAACACTGTGTGACTGTTACACAGCAAACACTTACGAGGGGTGACATTCAGCTCAATGGAACATTCATCCGTGCCAACTCTGTTTGAGGCAACACAATTGTATGTACCAGAATAGTCTCGAGATGCATTTTTCAAGAGAAGTTCCCCTGTGTTTTTATCTACAAACAACAAAAGGTAGAGGTTTACTATTTTCCAAAGTTTAATTCCATAGTCAATACTACAGAATTATTAATCCAGCACATAGATGAAATCTTAATTAAAAAATGCTGTATTAAGAATATTCAAATAAAAACAAAAGTCTATCGTGCTACAAAATACTATTATTTGCAAAAGTTTTTTACTTTGCTAGAAATTTATTCCACATCATTTGTCTTTAATATTAAGCCTCCAGACTGCTCTGTCAATGGATATGAACAGATATTTAAAACAGCCAATTTTCTCATCCTAACATAGAATTCTAAAATACAAGATTAACTGCATCTCAGAAGTACCTCATTCTCTTCTGTCTAAACCAATTCCACACAACCAGCTAAGATGCCTGCAGAATTCATGCTCAACATGAGGTGGACCTAACCTGAACACTGCACTCCAATGGGTGACCAGTTAAGCCTAGCTACGTTAGACTACCTACTAGACAATCTAGTCTATACAATCTAGAGCAGCTACTAGACAATCAGTGAAAAAAAAAAGAGTATAGCTTTTTGACAGCTACCTTTCTGAGATTCTACCATATGAATTTTAATTGGCTTGCATGCTTTAACTGCCAATAGATTTGACATCGGCACTGCAAGACACTACATCACAGGAACAAAGCACCACACAAATACTTAGCTCTTCCTGCTAGAAGTTAGGTAGTGTCCCGATTCCTGAGAACATGTCCAGTGTCCTCAAACCTACATTCACAAGCTGTCCTGGCTTGGCTAAATCAGGACCAATTTTCTTTTCAGTAGATTTTCCTTCAGTTAAGTTTCTTCAAAGTAACTGCCTTTCTGAAGCTGACTACGCGTTTTTCAGACACCGTTGCTTTTTAAAGGTGATGGCGTTTGATGTCTGTAGTTGTTGCTGGGGTAGAAGTGGGATTGTTATGCAGAACAGCCCATGCGTGTGCATGTTCCTGTGGGAACCAGAGTCACTGCTGGCTCTCCTGTGGTCTGCATGTGGGGAGGTATAAAAGGGTCGCACCTCCAGGAAGCTGCGGACAAGACACTTGACCAAGGACTGACCAATGTAGTATTCCGTCCCAGACACGTGGATACTCAGGGTAAAGCTAAGGGATCACAGAGGTCAGGCCTTTTTCTTTCATAGCCAGCATCCCTGTGGGACTCTGCTCGCTCTCCTGCCTCTGACCCTGATCCACATATTCCTGAATCCGGCTCCCACCTGCTGCAGAGTCCGGTCCAGGCACCAACCCTGCTGCGCGAGCACTGCAAGCCACTGACGCAAGTGGTCCCGTAGTCATCGTCAGGAGCTCAATATTGGTTTAGTGTATTTTTATTTCTATTACTATCAGTATTAGTATTAATATTATTATACTCTTTTCACTGTTATTGTTTTATTAAAATTGTTTTACCTTTCCAACCCACAAGTCTCTCTCCCTTTTCTCCTCTCCCTCCCCTTCTGGGAAAGGAAGGGGTTAATAGACAGCATCTGCCACCCACTTTCAGGGCCAGCCCAGCCTTAAATGGTGACATCCCAGAAGAGACAATGATACTGTCAATTGCTTTTTTTTTTTTGTTACCATGAGACAAATTTGGGATGTGGAGAAAGAAGGGGCATAACAACAGAAGCTTAAGTTCTTGAGTAGCAGAGAAGAACATTAGTGATCAACTGTTCACTGTCAAAACAAGAAATAAAAGATATCGAACAGTGCTACCACGAAGCAAGCTGAAAATGGAGAACAGTACGAGGTTCTTCATATATAGCTGACTTTTAGAGATCTGTGTTCTAAGGTATTGAAAATTCTAACAGACTACAAAAGTTCAAAGGAAACTGGAGAACTTCACCAAGGTCAGTTTTTGTTTGTTTTAAATCAATTAAACTGAAGCCACATCTGAATTTCCTGAGGCATAAATTACAGGAGGATAGGAGACTCCTATGAGGAAGAACCACACAACTCCTTATTCTCTCTCCCCTAGACATTCACTTTGGTTACTCTTAGACACATGATACCGCTTTGTCCTGTATGTCCTACACAACCCGAGTTAAAATATGCCTATTTGTAAGCAGATTCTTAAACTGCTTCATCTGCAAGGAAATCCCACCATCTCAAAGTTTAAGGTTTTCATAACTACAAAGAAGATCAGAAAGAATTGGTACTGAGCAGTACTCTTCCAAAAAATATTCCAAACTAACTTTCACAAAGCCAAAACTCACAAATTAACCTTCTACAATGAAGTTCTCACAATAAAAATCCAATATCACCACTACAATAATTTGGAATCCATCAGTCAGAATATATAACTCCTTTCTGTATGTCAGCTCTTGTAAGAAAAGAGTAAGCCTTCTCTGCTCTGTTACTCTTGACAAGTTTTCTTCTAAAGACATGTACCTCTTTTTAAGCAAGATCTGTCACTTGATCAGGAAGTGAAGACCTCGGTCCAACCTCTAATAAAATTCAAGCTTTCATCTCCACTTCCCCGAAGGCAGCTCTAACCACGAGCCTAGACTCTGTTCTGACTCTTCCCTACTGTCCACTTGAGCACAAAAGCAGCCAGCATCAGCAAGCAAGAGAACTTGCAACACTCAGGCACAGGTGAGCAGGATTCTGCAGCCTAATAGCAAGAATCTCAACTTAAACCTTGAATCATTTCCCAGTGGGAATAAAATAAATAAAAATTAGTTGTTTCAAAGTCAGTTTTATTACCCAGAAAAAGGGCAGAAGTGACACTTACCTTGACTACTCTATACTAATACTAAGCATGAGATGCTCACAAGTCAAGATAAGTCAAAAATATGAATGCAATCTTTCTTAAATATTTCAGAGTAATAAATAAAGTTTGACAGTACTCAGCATGGAAGTGGCAGGAAGCTCCTGTGTGCCAGATACTCTCCTCCAGTCATAAGACAAAAGTGGGGATCCTTCTTGTGATGCGCATTTCAAGATAACATCTTTTCCAATCTCCTGTGATCCTTCAATGGAACATTTAGTTCTTGCTGGCTTTACTAATAAACAGAGTATCATTGAATTAATAACAGTCATAATCAAAATGCTTACTAGTTGTGTTCTAGTAGGTCAGTCCGTTTTGCTAAAGACAAAGCTTATGCAACAAACCATTTCTAGGCACGGGGAAAGATTTTCTACGAAATACAAGCCAGGCACAGAACTTTTAAAATTACTCATTCTTCTGAATATTATTCCCCCCATCCTCCAGAAGAGAATGATGTCCCCCTCCCAAAGTCTCAATAATGGATGCATCATCATAGATTCAGTATGACTTTGTCCAATGGAAGTTTTCATTTTAGACATCAAAGACAGGTTGCAATAAAGCTAAGAAATGTCACTGAAAATTCACGAAAAGCATCATCTTACCAAGTACAGTCAACTGTATTTTTTGGCTTTGAACTCCAGGAGCCTTCTTCACTTTGCACTGGTACGTGCCGGTATCTGCTGACTTTAAATTCAGGATATCCAATGAACCATCACCAGATCTGGGATCAGGATTGGTAAACTGCATCCGCCCAGTCATAGCAGCATAATAATGATTATAAATCCTGTCTACAGCATACATAATTATCTATAAAAAAAAAAAGAAATATGATTCAGAAATCCACTTGGCATGTAAAAGTTCGAAATAAAATGGTATCTTCAGATTCTTGACAGTTTCTTTCTACTGTTTTAAATAATCCCAGAAGTATGACATAGTCAAATATCTCAATCTTCAAAACATCACCACACACAGTACACTAATAAATACTCCAACAAAACACCTGCCCAAGTAGCAATGTGTCAGCACTGACTTTTAAATGAAAGAAAACTGTTTAAATTTGCTCTAATTTCATTCTGTAAAATCTGTCTACTACAAGGAGTCATCTTTATGATAAGGCTTTCAAAGAAAGAGAAGAGTTAATAACTAAAAGATTTAATATATTTAAAATTAAATCCTCATAAATCAGTTTTCAATCAGGAAAATAAGGTGGGTACAAAAGCCTAATTTCTTTTCTGGAACTGAAGTGTATTTAATTTGAGAGTTCTTCTGTAGAAGATAAGTTTATAGCGAGAAATTTCTTGACATTTCTTACTTAATCTGCTATTCCAAAATTTCCACTACATTTCATATGACTGGTGCTTCAAAGTAATTTAAGATCACAAGCATCCCAATGTGAAAAGGTGGAAGTTTAAAAAGTCAGTAACAAAGTTTGTAAGTTGACCTATTCAAACGACTGAATTAACACTGTCTAAAAAAAGTCTTTACTTACTATTTGCTCCTTCTTTTGATTATCTGCTGGTATCAGTACCCACTCAATATCTAGTGGGCCTTCATCTTCTTCTGAGAGTACAAAAGTACATGGCAACGTAACCTTCTCTCCTTGTGCTTTTTCAAACATTGATTGGTCAACTGAAGTTATACTTAGGCTTCTTGTTGGACCTATAAAAATATATTTTTATGTTTTAAAAACACTTGACATGCAGTTTTCACCATAAGTGTTCTATTATATATATCTTCAAATCCATCATATGCTTTTCCCGTATAGAAATCATGCCATTAGTCAGGCTTGTCACTGCTTAAAGAGATCCTGTGCAGTATGTTAACGAATACAACGCAAAGTCATGTACGGTTCATTTGGAATCATATCCAAGAGGCAGTTTCATCTTTTAAATTGTACAAAAAAACCCATGTGGTTTAAGTCCCATACGAAGCTAAACCAAAAATTTCCAGCAGCAGGTTTTTCAAGTTATTAGATCATCACCTTACCATTACTCGTTCACTGTAACATGAAAGCATGGAACAGCAATGAAGTCCGCCAGGATGGACAGAACTGTTGTGAAGTCCTGGCTTAGATCAAGTGAAGTTACTCTGTCTTGAGGTATAAGGGGCTATAAGGGCTATATAAGGGCTTCTAACTATAAGGAGTGGACAAATGAATCCTTTCAAAAAAATCTCAATGAGCTTTTTTTTTTTTACATTTGTTTGCCCTTTCTGCTTGTCTTACTCCTCAGAAAAGGCTGTGTAATCCTTATCTGCATGCCTCTAAGCAAAACATGTTTCCAAACAACTAATTTTCCTCAATGCAGCCCTGAAAAAGAATCTATACAGTGACACAGACAGACTTACTCAAAAGGCCTGCAGCAAGATTCCCCGTATTTTACAACAAACATAGCGCTTGTTGTATCGAGTATATACAATCATACATCGCAGTCAGGAAGCGGAAAGTTCCCTTTCCTCATTACAGAAACAGGTTTGGCATTTGTACATCCACCGTTTTGTCTGCCGTGCTGGGTACCAAGCTCAGATTTTCACAGTCATTTTCTGTGCGTAGGTTGCTGCCCATCATAGCTACACAGTCACACAGATATTACCACAGCCACAACAGATGCAAAGCCACAAGAAGAGCGGCCAGTGTGAAGAAGATAGATCGTTTCGGTGGATCTGTAGAATCATAGCCTCAGATGAAATAAAATTAAGAGTTATTATAAATAGCGCGTTTATGCCCTAATTTGCACTTCTGCACTAGCTCAAGTTATTATCTAACTTGCACTTCTCCATATAGCAGAGAAGCTCTAGTGCATTTCTGCAGAAGATCAGACTGCAACAGCTATCCTACCTTACTAAAATCTTTACTCTGCTTCAAGTCTTTGGATTCTCTTCCTTAATAGCAAAACAAAGGGATCTTTAACAGCTGTTTAAAAAGAAAAAAAAAATATCATTTAGAAAGAGAAAGCACCTGACATGCTAAATTCCAGACAAAAGGTGCAAGAAAAGACCTTCACAATTCTTAATTACAAACATACAGTTACAAATTAGGCAGGATTATTTCATTTCCTACCATTCATGGTATTCCCTTCATTCTAGGAAGGGGGGGAGGAAGGCAGCAAGACACACCAATCTGAGGCACAAGAGAGATTTAGGTCCAAAGTTTCAAAGTTTCTTACCAACCCATGCACACCTTTTCAAAGATAATTCTAACAGGTTTGTATTATTTTATTTTTTTTTTAAATCACAGTAAACATATCTGAGCATCTAATTCTCTGCTACTAGGTTGAATTAATACTATTTCCTAAATTATACTCCATAAATACCAGTTGACTTGCCACAGATGCTATCCCCTTCTAAAGGATCCTCTCAGACTTCCAAGTGTAAAACTAGCCATTCTAAACCTATTAAAAAGGACATTTGACTAGTGAAATATATTACAGCGTAATCCTTAAGTTTGGTGAGCTTTACATAAACAAAACCAATATTACTACTAGCCATCATCTCTAGAAACAGGTAGATTTGGAGTACACTCATGTTTCCCTAAAGCACAGTAGCAAAGAATGCAAGTTTCTAATCTGTTCTTCAGCGACTTCCATACTCTTCTGTTCCCCTCTCCCCCACTGCCTCATCAGGGAACTGTAATACAATATTCTCAAGTTTACCTCCAAATTGCATTTCTGCCTTTTCATTTACTGTATTAAAGAATTGAGATGGAATGTCAAGTACAGTTTAGTGACTGATGATGAAATATATTACGATGTTACTTCCCTAAAAGCCTCAAATCTACAACCCAGGAAATTACAAGCTTTCATTCTGAAGTACAAGTTAACCACTGAAGCATTACTTCTGCTCTGTGACAGCATCTCCAAACGCAGGTACTTTGCCATTTGAAGTTCCACAACAGATGACCACAGAACACACATTTGCTTTCCCCTCCCCGCGAGGGGACCGCTGAGGATTTCACAAAGCGTTCAGTAATTCAGGCAAGAGGAACACGATGACATCTGCCTCTTCACAGTGGGTACTGGGTAACAGAATTCATACTTTGGAGAAGCTACGATACATCTGTACTACTAAGAAATATAAAATCTCTGATTTTTAGTTGACATCTGCTGAAACACATAACATGGCCAAAAGAAATCGGACAGATGAGTATTCATATGCTGATTTTTTTTTACTAGTTTTCTAAACAGGACTTGTACAACCAATGTTTTATTTCTCTCCTTCTTCTGTCATTACTTGTTCATCTCTTTGACAATTTCAAACAAATACAAAAGCAGAAATAGCATTGCAGTGCAACCAGAAGTCCCTAAAGTTATTCATTTGTACTGATACAGTAAGAAGCATTAGATTCTTCAACTCTCTCTTGCCTCCTCATTGCCAGACAACTCCACGAGTATAATTTCAAAGTGGACGTTACATAAACTGTTTCTCGTTCAGATGGGAGAACACCGAGAAAGGGACACTGGGAATAGGGTAGAAAAATTGTGTTAAAAGCTGGAAGTACTACATTTCAGAGACATGCTCCTAGGAAAGTAGGCTCCAACAGTCCTGTCTATCACACAGCAGCTCGCTTAAAGTGCTTTAAATGCCACAAAGAGCAAACAGCTCAGTCTCAGCTTCTACTACAGCACTCATTTCTCCGATTCAAAACACATGAAACAACATAGTAACCATAAGCCAAAGAAAAGCAGAACCCAATAGCCTAAAGTGACTTGTCAGAAATTTATCCCACATAGAAGATGGTTACAAAAATTGAAACTTTCTGAAGCGCGAGTAGTATGTTCACGCACATTGACTCCACGTAAATATGCCAATGGAATACGGAGCACATGAACCTCAGGATAACTCTCAACAATCATATTGCCTCACGTGAAGTTTGGAGCGCACATTAGCTGATATGAGAGGTACCCAAACATTGGCCTGAGCCTTCTAAGTCTCAGAGATTTTTTCATAGATCTCAATTCTTTTCTTACTGCATGTCTCCCAACACCTCATTTTTATTATACTAGTACTTCACAGTCTCTTTCTTATGCTAAGAATAGAAGCATGTAAAGCTGGTTTCCACTTTCTCCTTTTTTTTTGGTCCACATTAGAGTTACAGGCAGAAACAGCAAACCTCTCAATTAAGGTAGGTGTCAGAGCTAGCTGGGGTTGAACTAACCACTAGCAATATGAGGGAGCGGTAGGAAACACTGGTTGGAGATTCCCTTCTGCAGAAGAGACACATACATCTGCTGTCTATATGCTGGTGAAGGAGGTTTGCTCAGATTCACCCTGTTAGAGAGATTGCCAAGGGTCCTCTAACACTTGGACTATTAGCTATTAAAATACTACCCCTTATTATTATTACCACTATTGCCTTTTCTTTTTCCCCTAATTATTACTATTACCTACTTATACATGTACTCCTGCTATTACCAAAGTAGACCTGGAGTAAATGAAAAGCAACTAGAAAACTCCAGGGGCAAAGAAGGACGTGGGAGCCCAGGTGATGTTTGTTCTCCTTGCTCTTCCGTGTGAAGATGGAAAGGCTTGTGGAGACACAGCCTGCAATTTAACAACTCACTGCAGGCAGCGTTTTAATTTTTTATGGCCACAAGTACCCCTGAGAAATGAGGGCTGCAAAGTTAGAGATGGCATCCAATTGGCAAAGCGGGTTAGGAACCTCCTCATTAAATCTGGTGACAAGCAGTTTAAATGAGAGGTCTATCAGGGAATGCTGATAGAATTTTGCAGTTAAGGGAGGGAACAGAGATTCAGACATGTTAAGAGTACATGGGTTCGGTTTGTGGGAGGAAGAGACCTTGGCAATGATAAAACAAGTCAAAAGGGGAAGCACCTCAACAACCTGTACACAATACTATGACACCAGAGTAAGTGAGACATGTGGGGTAGCTCTCATGACTGGAGCTTTGTCATGGATGCATATAAGCTTTTTAAGAAAGCCAGGAAGGAAAGAACGGCAGGTGAATTGCCCTCTACCTGAAGGAGCAGCTGGAACACAAAAAGCTGTTCTACAGGACAGACAACAGGCTGGTGAAGAGCTTGTGAGTCAGGAATCACAGAATGGATTTGGTTGGAAGAGATCTCTGGGATCATGGAGTCCGACCTTTGCCCTAACACCACCATGTCAACCAGACCATGGCACTAAGTGCCACGTCCAGTCTTCTCTTAAACACCTCCAGGGACGGTGACTCCACCATCTTCCTGGGCAGCCCATTCCAATGCCTAATTACCTTTTCTGTGAAGAAAGGCCTCCTCACTTCTAGCTTGAACTTCCCTGGCACAGTTTCAGACTATGCCCTCTGATCCTGTCAGTAGTTGCCTGGGAGAACAGACCGAGCCCCAACCG